GCTAAAAACTCAAGTATTTCTTGTCCAAATCTTACAGTTAAGCAAGCAAGTCAATGTGGGAATTAAATGCTGAGTCTTTGAACTTGGATTATTTGGAATGAGATACTTTCATTTTACTTAGTATAAAACCTAAAACATTTTAACTAAATCCAAAACAATCAAATGCCAAAAAAGGGGGGGGGGATACAATGACTTTGTATGGGTGTCTTCTTTTTTCTTGAATTTGAAACACATAACTCTTGCTGTTAATTGTTTCGGATTTGCAATAAGTTTGTGTGTGTAGCTATTCAAAAGTGTGTGCTTGTGCATGGAAACTGACCTTGAGTGGTTTTCAATTGCTTAAATCACCTTACTTATTTATTTTTAAAGCATTTTTTTTATTCATAGGTCTATGTGTGTACCTGTAGGAGTGTATGCCACATGCTTGTGGGGTGCTCCTGGAAGCCAGAAGAGGGTGTTTGAGTCCAGAAAATGGCTTTGGGTTCTTGGAATTAGAGTTATAGGCTGCCTGCCTTGGAGACTGGCATTTGAACTTGGGATTTCTGGAATAGCATGTCAGTGCTCTTAACTGCTGAACCATCTCTCCAGGCCCACCCACCTTACTGTTTTAGCTGGATTCTCTCAATGAGACTGGGTCTCCCTGCTTAGACAGATGAACTGGCCCGGACTCGGGGGACATGCTGTCTCTGCCTCTCTAACACAGAGATTACAGGTTTGGACTCCATAGCTGGTTATAACCCAAGTGCTGTGCCTATAAACTCACATCTTCCTTCTGCCATGGCAAGAGTTTTACAGACTGAGCCATCTTTTCTTGGAGATGCCATCAGATTAGAGGCCAGTGGCAAATGTCTTCATTTTTACTTTGATTGCCTGGATTCAGTTGCAACTGTAGGTAAAGAGGAAGTTATGTTCGGGATTCTGGATTCAGCCTCTCAGGTTCCCCCTCACTTCCTCCATGGGAAACAGAACAATTCTTTCTAATTTTTATTACCTTTCATCTAATAAAATGCCCAGTGTTAATTTAATATTGTGTCCTCTTCTCCCCAATAGGAAAAGAAAAGCTTCCCCTGTTGTAGTATAACGAATCACTTTTGGTCCCTTTGACTCTCTTCCCACTGCTAAACTCTCCAGGACCAGATAGATAATCCTTTTGAATCAGAGTATCCAAGCATATGAGTCTGACCTACTTCTTGGATGACATGCCCAGAAATTCGATATTATTACTACCAGAATTATCAGAAACAACCAGACAAACAAATGCTTTAGATCACCCCTTGGAGTGGATTCAAATGAGAAATAGATAAAGAGCTATATTTCTTTGTGTAAATAAAAAGTAGATGTGGTATTCTTGCCACATCACCACTGGCTTAACTTGGTTTCAGAGCGACTGCAGCTACATGCCTGGAGTGACTGCTTTTAAACCATTAAATCTCAACTCCACCTTAACATTTTACTTATTAGTCACTGTTGAGCCTTTGTTCTTACTTGCCAGCATCTGAGAAAATGCACATTTTTTGCTCAAGACGTCTGCTCTCTACCACCGTAGTGTTCCCTCCTGCATAGCCGATCTCTTAGAGTGGCTATGACAGGTGGGTCTGAGAAATGGCATTTGGGACACTTCTAGGGTAGCCCAGTCCTCCTGGTGAAATACAAAGCACAAGTCAGTTCCGGATGACTGTTCCTAAAGGGATTTCCCCCAAGCATCTGGATCTTTAAAATCTGTTTGATTAACAGTCTCTGAATTCATAAATTTGCAGTGCCTGGGAAATACTTGTAAAAAAACAAATTGACTTGACTTTAGAGGACTTTCTATTATTTGGTTGTTTATTTTGATCAAATCAAAAAAAAGTAAAATCTACTTTTGCAACCATTTCGTTAGAGGATGGACAGACACATCTAAACAGCAGACAACATTGGGTGGTCCTCTCCTGTGATTAGAAGGTACACGTTATTTCTCAGATCCCTATCTCAGCAGCGCTCACTGGGGATTCGTCATCCCGAGAATTTTACTTTGGAGTTTTCCACTCTTATCAGTAGCTTGGAAAGGGACTTTCTGTGCTGCAAGTGTCTCTGTCTCCTAGGTGTGTTCTCCCGAGGATGGCTTTGACCTTTATTCTGTTTCTCTGGGACCATAACTCACCGTGTTTATGGGATTAGTGCAGATTACTCATTTTGAAACAGGATAAGCCTTACACTAAGGAGAAGGAGGCATCGGCTCATGAGGCATGATTTGTGGGGTGATGAGAAAGCTTGATAATTTTTTTTTAATGGAGTTGCCCCATGACCTGGAATCTAAACATGGATGGTAATTCCTTTAGTACTCAAGGACTCTCTTAGTTACTGCTAGTGTTTCTTCTCCCTTAAATGATCTCCTTTATTTAGGGCTGTGTGGTTATCTTTATCAACATATTAAAAGGTGACATCTCATCATGTCACTCCACACACAGCTACAGGGACAAGTGGGTCATAGGGCTGGGTTAGAGGAGGTAAGAATTGGGGAACATGGTCTCATCCTTTGTCGTGGCTTTCATGAGAAGGAATAAGCAAGGAAGGATAGACAAACTGAGCCAGTTTGGGGCTGAACAGCATGAATAAATTGGGCCAACTCTTGATTATTGGCATGAACTCTGTCTGCTAACCTTGCTCAATTCACTAGGTCAAGGAGGACATTGGCTAGGTTTATGAGGTCTCTTCGGAGAGGGAACTCTAAGTTGTTTGATTTAGATGTGGAAGGGGTGCTGAAGGCCATTCTTTAGTATTTCTGGGAATTAGCTTGCTCTGGGAAAGGCAGCCTATGTCTTGTCAGTGATGATTTGGGAAGCAGACCATCAAGGACACACACACAAAAAAACATGAAAACATAGATGTAATTAAGATTCAATCTCTTGTTATCAAGCTTGAAAACAAAATCCATTTACATTTTGTATGTCCCATGTACACTTAGATTAATGGGCATTTATACAATAATCTTAATAATTTTGTGCACGAAACAAAGCTTTATGGAGTGCATTTTTTCACTTGTAGAATCATGAGAACAGTAAAATAAATTCACATCTTGAAGCATTTCAAATTTTAGAGCATCAGATTACAGAGGGTTTGATTAATATATTTTCCTGTCTTTTCTTTCAATACTTTAATGCTCAAGGTGCGGTTCTTAAGGTATGAAATCCATTGAAATTGGTTTATCTGCTTCTATTTTTCCTGTACGAAAAAAAGAAACCACCCCAATACAAATTCAGAGAGTGGGAGGTAGAGAAAAGGGTGATTGCAGAAATTATACAAAAAGCAGTAGGAGGAATCAATGTTGAAATAGCTGATTTATAGGTTTGAGGCTGTAATGTGTTTTATTTCTTCAGAGTGTGCCGAGTGTCGGGTTGGACTAGACAGCTTTTGTTTTGTCTTAAATGATCTTATTTTTATCATCACAGTCATCTTATAAAGTAGGTATCATTGTAAGTGTTTTAAAAATTATTTGCTCGACATAATAACTCTATGAGATCAAGTCCTTTATATTATAGATAAAGTTTATGATGATATTGTGGATGAAATTTATGAGGGGGATTTGTGAGATGACAATGTTTATTTTGTTTGCAATGTGTGCATTCCACAAAAGCAAGAAGGAAGGGGTAATTCTGGAGTCTCTTAGGTTGGGTTCCCTCTCACCTCTCACCACACTGTTACTGGCTGTGTGACTTTGATAAAATTATCTGGCAGCTAAAAGTGGCCTTCTTCATATGAGTGATGAGAAAGTCTTCTTTGGAGGTTGTGGTGATCATTAGAGTAGGGAGAAATGATCATGACACAACATTTAGCATATAGGAAATTTTCTAAATGTTAGCTATTATTATCATTCTGAATTTTGTTCTTCTTGAGACCACCAGTATTTCTTCTTGATTTCAACAATTGTTCTTATTGCAGGGCAATAAGATAGCCTTGTTTAGAACAAAAAAAGAGGGCAAGGAGTTGGGAGGGAGAGGTGATGGGGTTTCTTGGGGGAATTTGATGGAGGGGATTGATATGGATCAAGATATAGTTGATAAATGTGTGAAGTTTTTAAGGAATAAAACTATCATACAGAACTCTCCAATAACTACTAAAATTTTTTATATAAAAAACATTGAAATCTTCCTGCTTAAGGAACATATAAAACTATAGCAGAAATTTCTAAGTGTATTTTCAATGTTGCCATGCAGATAATAAATGCATCTGTATTAAGAATAAAGGAAGAAGTTGGTATGACAGTATACAGAACAACACACAAAAATGAGTGAAAATATCATGTATGCATCCCCTCATCTGCCACTGCAGTTAGAGGGAAAAGGCCATTTGCTGTGTTCTTTGAATTTCCATGGTATTATGAAAAGGTTTAAGTTTTCTTCCTCTTTCTATGGCTCTCACCTCTTGTCCAGGTCACACAGAATTTCCTAGGTGTTTGTCCAAATGTGTTTCCCAGGAACTCAAGTGACATAGCTGCTCCCTTTCATTTGGAGCCAGCTGCATGGCTCATTTCT